GACAGGGTGATGAACACCCTGATGATGGAGGCTCTGAAATGTTGGTAAACTTCTGTGCAACAACCGAGAAGGCAGTCAGTCATCTTTGCTGTACGTACAAATGTGTTTCAAGTCAACTGTTCTCGCACTAATGTCACACAAACTAAATGCTTCGTCTTAGGACATTCTTGCACTAATACGAGCACAAATTATTATTTCAGGTCTTCCAACAGTAACACTAGATGGATAGGAATTAGGACCTTAGGGTTGCTCACTGGTGGCAACCCGGTAGTTTGAAACAATTACGAGGTTACAGAGTAATTAGAATAATGACTGGCAGCAGTGGAGACATCGTAGCCTCCTTCTTCCCCGAAGTTTGCCGGTTCATTATGGTTGGTGGCAATGAGAAACGTTAAGACCCCCCCACAGTTACTCCGTCGTAACAATCGGTGGGAAGCGGTCAGATAAAACTTCTGGCAGCTGCTACACTCCACAACACAGAACATAAAGACATTAAAATTACAGTCGTTGAAATAACACCAACTTTGTATAGACGTAGAGGTAAATAAACTATTAACCTCACTCTGAAAACAGCCCACATTCAACTTCTGCTATAAATATATATTTATATATATATATATATCTATGTATATTATTGTTAGTTCATACATTGCATTAGTGCTTGTATCAGATGCACAGACAATGATGGTCCTTTGGTTTCAACTCTTCCTTCTGACACGACACTACGATGCACAACTACTCAACCGAACAACTTCCAAAACCGCAGGGAAATTTAACTTGGCCAATATACATTCATCCCTGAGTAACTGCCATCATGAAACCAAGTCCTCAAAATAATCTTCAATAACAAAAATAACCCTCTGCATCTGAAAATGATATCAAACGCAAATGTACTACATACATTTGTTTTCTCAGTCATACCGAGCCCGTTCCTCAGAACAATACGCGCGTTAAACAATGTCATTTATGTGTAGCTGGCAAAAAGTCTCGTAGTAACACTGTTTCAGTTTCATCGTTGGGTGACGTACTGCAGAGACTGAAAAAAGAAGCAGAATTTCACAATACTTGCAACTCACATCTCGGTCTAAATGATTTAGAGGGACAATTTAAGTGGTATTATATTCCTGAATGCATGGAGACAATAACTTAACATACTAAATATTTTCCAAGAGGTCCACGTTTAAATCCAGATTCTTGCAAAGAATTTTCATGCTACTCTTTAACAACTCTATGGTAATACGACAAGATTTAAATTTTTTTAATTTCCCCCCCCCCCATAATTCTAGATAATTGATATTCATTCTGATGTACCATTCTCTTCACATTAGGGGATCCTCAACTTCCCACTTTTCTGTTACTTACTTCTACCAGAACACATGATGCAACATACCAGACGACAGTCATCTTCATTATTTATTAATAACATTAAGACAAAATTACATTTTTGTTCCTGCTCACATAGATTACATCTATCATAAACAACTAGTTAGTTACCTCCTGATCCCAGCCTTCAACTTCACCAGCCAATTGGTAGTGATGGCGACGAAGAGCAGAAAGTCGCAGGCGTTCCTGATCCAATGATGCCTCCAGTTCCAAGACTCGCACCTGGGCCTCCATTTCTAATCGCTTAGCTTGGTGCAGTGACAAACCACTCATGTCTAGGTCCTCTGTTCAAAGCATGCGGGAAGAAGTGAGTTAATAAAAATATATTACAAGGATGATTTTTTAACTGCATCGGCTCTTTCTTAATCCTTTCGTTATTAGAGAAGAAAAATACTTCAGTGTCCTACGGTCATTGTAGACGTACCTACAGTATTTCACCCTCGCAAACACACACGCAAATAAAGCAACAGAACTTGAAGACAAGGCAATTGTGTATAAGCATGAAATGAGGCAGTATTTTCCTCTAAAAAATTTATACTTGCAAATCATCACAACTCAATGATCACCATCAACGTGCAGTAAAGAATTACAACTGAGAGTGACTGCAGTTTGGACACTGACAATTCATTTACAAAGTCAGTGTTTTATTCACTCAAATAGTGTATTAGTTTAGGAATCATCTTTTCTTTCTTTGTAAAATTCTATTTTCATAAAATATTGGCTGGAAGGCTGAGAAATGAACGGCATCCAGACAGCTGAGAACTGTAATAAAACTGAGTGCTGGACCACTCCATTAATCTCTTTTAATGATTCACTGATTAAACTCAATGAAATAATGACAAAGTGACATCTTTTCCAGGTTTGCAAGTACCAACGGTCTTGCTTACACAGCTGTAAGATTCTGGAATAAAGATTTTTTTTTTAAAAAATTACCGTTCTCCTCTATCATCTGCCCACATGATTTGGCAGTAGCCACGACTCCACCCGTAGCTTGGGTGACACCCTTCGATGCTTGAAACAGGGATGACATATTCTTGCTGTTGCGATCAGCTTTCACACGGCTTGCCACCACAAGCTGTGCCGTACTGGCTGCAATCCCCTGTGATGCCACCACAAGCTGCTCAAATTTACCTTGACCACTCACCACCTTGTCTGCTGCCGTTCTGAAAAGCACAGCCAATCATCAGCAAAACTACTGAAAGAAAATGTTCCAAAGATGGTATACAAATCCAGTTTCTTGTTATCATGCCAAAAGAATTGTCAATACATACAAAAGGAACTTAGCTCCCATTCCGACAGCTTTGGCCGCTGATATTAAGCCTTCTGTCCACTGATGATTTCTTTTGTAAAACTCCTTAGCAGATGCTGTACCCTAGAAAAAAAGTGGAAGATGTTATTGTAGTTCACCATGTCCCCCCACCAAACAAAGAAAAGAAAGAAAAGAGTGCATCTGGGCCAATTTGCATACAAACATCGAACTAACCTTTCCTTGGGCAACAATCTCCGCCTGCAATAACCGAGACTTCTGCACCAACACTCTAATTGCTTGCATTAGGGTTGTACATGAATCCAAGATTTTCTCATTCACTTCAAGTTTGAGCCCTGAATCAGCTGCTCTGGATTTACTCAACATTTCCTGAAAAGAAATAATGACATAATCTACAGAGTGAAGTAGCAGACTCTATTGTGCCATAATATATTTGAAAACTTACCATAATCTTTGGTAAAAATCTATCAAGTCTAACTGTAGCAAGTACCTGTCTACCCTATAAATATGGCGGCCATGCCAACTCCACAGGTAGGCACCACTTAAAGTAAAAATCAGATATTTTGAAGTTTAATGTTATAATAAAATAATACAACTTTTATCGAGGCCTCATAGTACATAAAATAATAGCACACAAATTATCTTGATTTTATGGCAGGAAGTAAAGAACTATTTTAGCTAGGTTGAGACTGACAACACTCAAGACACAGGATATTTGTACTGGTAACTTTTATGCACAGAAATACATCACCAAGTCTGATAATTACTAATTCATAACACTTCTGCAAATGAAGTAGACATAAATTATTCCTTCAAACTTTGGCATCATATCTAACTTTATCTTCAGATAGATCACTTCATCAATTAACAGAAATGCAATTATGTTGCAAAGCTAAAGCATTTCTCTTCGACATTTTATTTATAAATGGAAAATTGTAATATTTGTACCTGCATATTAAATTATATGTTAAACACGACAAATTATTATTATATGTGCAATACAAAATTTTCATAAGAGTTACAGCACAATGTGCTAAATTTGCTGACCTTCAGTAAAACATCGCACACAACGCACTTCACACTTACTTCTATTCTGTTGGCAGCTTCCTCAATTGCTTTGTCCATACTAGCAAGCTCTGACTCAACCATATCACCAATCATTTCTGCAGAATCACCTTTCAAAATATTTGTGAGTTTCTCAATTAGCTCTGACAACTCGGCCACTCTGCTCTTCACTGTGGCAACGTTCCCGGCCACACTGTCCGCCTTCTTTTGATCCTTTATACTGCCCAGAAGGTTCAAAGTGGAACTTCCTACTAATTTACATACTTCAGCTATGTCTGTAAAGTAATTTTGTAATTTTATTACATTCAGAAATACAATAAAACTGTAAATTTTTGTTTTATCATGTTTTAGTTACTGCAATTATGGACAATGAGAAATGTTTACAATAGCGTAGACAGAAAATATTCTAGCACAAGGAATGCTTCAACATAAGTTCAATACTTACGTTCTCCAAACTCAATATCAGGAGACGTGTTAGAAGTGGTTTTTCCTCGCAGTATGTAATCAGCAAGAAGCTGAGCCGTACATATCACATTCTGAACCAGACTATCAATTGCCGCAGAATTTGAACTGTAAGCCTGAAATGAGCTTGCAAGGTAATTTAAGGAATTCTGAACTGGTTCTATTAAACCTCGAAAATAATCTGAAACAAGCAACACCAACAATTATTACAGTAGTACCCTGGTCCTCCGGGTTGAGGGTTGGTCGCAAGGCTAACAACCTTGCACCGTAAAAAGGAAGATGTTTCGAAACCTCAATTGAAGCCTTGGACAGACGGACCTAACAGAGGACTGAATGGAAGAGGAGAATTCAAGAGGCCATGGACCGAATACGGACCGGAGAGCCATAGAAAAAGAAGAGAATTAACAGTAGAAAGACAAATTCAAACTTCTCAATCACACATATTTCTAAGGTTCACTTGAAGTAGCACACTACTTTTAATAGGTCTGCATAGATTGTATCATATTCTAAGCTCTGAAAAAAATTTAAAATCAAAAACTATTAACGATAAATCACTTCCGTACCTGGTGTACATGTAACAGCAGAAATGGCTGGATTGTCAACTTCATCAACTGATTTTTGTACTATTTCTTCTGCTTGTGATATGCACGTGACTAGAAGAGAACAGAAAAATGAGGTAAACATTAACATTTGTAGACACTAAGTATGGTACATTAAAATATTTATATTTAACTGTTAATTTTAAACTATTTTATATATCTTAACATGATCACACTGACTTTGCATTTCATACACACGTATTTCCATATAGGTACTGCATTTTATAACAATTCTACCCACCATATGTACCACCAGCAGGTTAGCCTATCTGCTGTAAATGTTTGAAATAATAGAAATTCAAGTATTTCCTCCAAGGTCAATTACAAAACAAATGTTTACAAGACGTGAAAAGTGATGAAACAGTTTTCCAACTGGACATCACCAAGCAGAGAAATGAATACGCCACAGGGAACGGCAACCAAAGGTTCAGCGACAAACTGATCCATCTTACGTCAAATTACAAGCACAGCCCACTGTGGACTCTCATACCGTGAATACTACTTATGTTCGACCTAACATACCCAACAGCTGATACAGCTTGTTGTATTTTTCTTCCTGTAACCGTGCTTCCAACTCCTTCATCCTGTTCTCCGTGTCCTTGAGTCGCACATCGAGGTCCTCCTTTTGAGCCAACAGGTCTTGAAGCTTTGATTCAACTAAATTCTTCTCACTCAGTAGCCACTCAACTTTGCAGGCAAGATTCTGTAACAAACAGCACATGAAATGCATGTACAAAATGTCATGATAAATATTGAAATGAGCTAAACGGAGGACAAAAGCTGTTGGTTTTGTCAACTATTTCAGACAGCAAACCAAGTGTGTATAAGCTGAGTATAAAGACATTGGTGTATGATAACATGAACAATATTTTGTACACTGTCCACCGTCCCAAAGTTCTGCTTTAACAGTAAGTAATACTGCATTTTGGTATTTACGAGTTTATTATGAGTTTCAGTGTAAACGGCGATTACTTTCTTAAGCAGCATTAACCAACTGATCTTTGTAACTGAGATGCATTATTTTATTTGCAATACATACTGAATTCTTAAATATTATTTAGATGTGCTTTGGCAACAAAGGTCTAAAAGTTTTTTATATGTTAATTCACCTGGTTTTCAGATTTGGCTGATTCCTGACTTTGCCTCAGGGTCACAAGTTCAGCCTGAGCTTCACTGGAACACCTCTGTAATGAATCTTCTGCCTCCGACTTCTCTAACATCAGTTCCTGTACTCTGGATTCAGCTTGAGTTTTTGATCTTATTGCAGTTTCACTCATACTCCGTGCACTAAGAAGTTGTTTATCAATATCAGCTTTCTGTAATCACGAGCAAAAGCAATATTCATTGACCATCACAGGAACAAAAAAAAGGAGGGGAGGGGGGGGGCAGAGCAAAAATTATTCTGAAAGAATTTTCAGTAATTAGCGAGTGTCTGAGTCTAGCAGATAGCACTCCTGTCTCATATTTTGGTGGTCCTGGGTTAAAATCTCAGCCAAGATACCAGCTATCCTGACTCGGTGTTTTTTTTATGAAATTTAACGCATCTTAAGATAGGTCACAACTGTTCCCTTCCAGATCCTTTCTAATTCATCACTTATACCATAATACTGTCATTTGATACAGCACAACTTAAACAATTCTAAAAATGTTGTTAAAAGCTGAAGGTCCTGAAAATTCATCTAACCACACTTCAGTCTTATGGGACGACTTGTTTAATCAACTTTTAACTATAACAATCTGTAAACTGTTCAGACAGACTTTAATAATTAGTAATTTGAAATTAACTTTAGAGACAAAGCTGCTTACTTGTCGAATTAGCTGGATATGTTCCTCCCGTAGTTTGGTGTACACTTCCTTCAGTTTTTGGAATTTTTCTTCTACTGTCTTCGCCTTCTCTGCAATAAGCATAGAACCTTGTGAGATTTCAGGCTCTCATGGTGGCAAGTATGAACAGAACCGTATTCTGCATGGTTGTGCCATGCAGTCTGGCAGACATTTGCCATCTACCAGACTACATGATGCAACAACCCAGAAGACAGCCATCTTCATAGAACCTCTTCACTCAGAATTCAGCCTTACAGCGCCTCACAGGTAGTTATAGATGAGTATGGAGCTTTGGTGGAATAATTACAGGAGGGGAAAATCTGAAGTATTTCTACAGTAAAATGCAGAAAATATTTCAGGGTAGCCAACATTTGTCTTTATTCACACTACATACCTCATCAGAAAAAAGCAGAAGTGCAAGTAAATATTTTGTTCTTTGTGACATATACAGTATGAAATTAAGACTTACTCTCAGTTTCCTGGAACTTTGAAACAACTTCAGTTTGCTGTAACAAATCATCTTTCAACTGCCTTTCTTGAAGAAGTTCACTGTCCTACAGAAAAAAATTCCAATGATATTGCACCATTATCCAACATAATTAAAAATTAAAGCACACATATGAAAAGAAAACAACTTTGAACTGATACACTTTACTAAATAATACAAAATGATTTCAGTAATTCAAAGTCTATTTTAAAACTTTCATTCGTAAAGAGCCGGTCTACACTGAAAAACAAAATTTACTTTATTCCTAAATACAAGTGTGATTTTTGGAAGAATCAAAAAATATTTTATACTACATACTAAAGGGTCAGGCAATACAGCACCTTTGTTGCTAAATCCACTTGTAGCTCCCCAATTCTTTCATTCAGTTGATCAACTATTCTTTGGTGTTCGTGGATCAGCCTCTGTATTTCTGCCCTTAGACGACTGATCTCTTGCTGCAGATGTTCTATCAAGTTGTCTCTGTAAAAAGTTCCCAAGTTACAAAAATGTAAACCTCTGCAACATACAGTCACTTCTTATTACAGATTTTGATAATGGGTTGACAGGCCGATCCCTCGTCCAAGAAGTCCTACCGATTGTCCATAGATCAAGCCAACTAAGAAGTTGGGGACCCGTAAAGGGTACCGGAAAATGTAGAAACATTGTTAAACCGGAAAAAGAAGGAGGAGGTAAAGGATTGTTATGCACGCAGGAGTTCATATAAAAGCTGACCATTGTCGGTCCATATTTACACGTTGTTGGTATGGATCTTCCTAACGCTGTTTTGCCGAATGACCCTTCCGTATAGACGTATTTGCGTCAAAATTAATTTATACCATTCATTTAAAAGCATTAACCACAGACAACACAAACATACACAATATAAAGGAAAGTAAATATATTATCTTCCATATACATTAAACATTCTTCTTGCA